CCGTTGCTAGTGTTACCACCCGTCTCCGATGGCGGCAACTTCATTTACAGGTTCTATAACCCGGCGGCGGAGCGAATTGAGAGCGTCAGTGGTCCCGCCGGGCATCGATCGGACTTACTTGAGTCCGAAATCGTGGGATCGTCCCACGGTTGGGTGGCACTGTTCAACCCCCGCAACAACTCTGTTGTTCTATCAAATCCTTTTACCCACCGCCACATCAACCTCCCGCCCGTGCACGCCTTGCCCGACCCGGAGATCAACCTGACCGACGGCCGTGGTCACGTGTCTAAAGTCGTGCTCTCGTGCTGCCCAGACGAGGACGATGAAGGCTGCCGCGCCGTCATGTCCTACGGCCCGGGAGACAGGTTAGCTGTCTGCCGGCCTCGCCGCTGCACCGAGTGGTCCCATCTTTGACGGCTACAAAGAGGAAATCCTTGACTACGGGGTGGATTATGCAAGGACTTATGAGGATTTTACATATTGTTCCAAGCGTGAAGTGTTTAGCTGCACAACGCAGTTTGAGGTCGATTTGGAGGAGTGGAGCCTTGACATTCCAACCCAATTCGAGGTTTGGGATCTTCTTTCTGACCCTCACTCCTGGAAATCCAAATCCAAACTTATCTACTGGCACTCGATAGACATTGAAGGCCCGAAATGCCCGTGGATAGAGGAAAATATGGATATTGTCAAGTCCTGCAGGCAGATACCGTACCTTGTGTACGACAATCATGGAGATCGGCTCTTTCTCGTGGTTCGATTCGTCATCCAACGAGCCTGCATTAACCGACCTTTTGCGGATGTGGACAGCATACCCTACGATCCGGTGAGCGACCGCTTGATGGTCCATCTCTATCCCCACAAAACTATCGGTTTTTCGGTTGTTGAACTCGATTTTGAAACGGGACCAATTTCCCGAATCAATGGCCTCAGTCGGATTGTGGGTGGTTGCGGCAATTCCTTGGATGGCCTCGCAATGTTTATAGGATTGAACCACTCATTTGCAGTGCCATCAGCGGCTGACTCGGGTTTGAAGCCCAATTGCATTTACTTCACCGATTCCAACAAGCATCAGGTTCCATTAGATTCCATCTATGGCGGCCATGACATAGGGATTTTCGATTATGAGAACAAGACTTTGTCTCCATGCTATTATACATGTGATGTTCGAAGCTATAGAAGAATTGTGCCAACACCTGTGTGGCTCACTCCAAGCACACATTAAGACTTCAATATCTTCTCATTTGTTAATATAAAATAAAATAGGATTTTGCTTCAAGTAGAAAGTAAAACCTCGACTAGAAATTTGGGTTTTACTATAACTGATAATTTTTCTTTTTAAAATTCTTTGAAAAAACTAGCGGTTGATTTGTAATTTAAATTTCAAATTCAGTTAAAGAAAAATATCATAAGCAGATATTCTTGGGATATGTTCCATTTTATCTTAATTGACCTATAATTTTATACTTAACAAATATTAGATTTTCTTAAATATTTTTGAATTAATTACACCAATAGATAATATTAATATACATTGAATATTTATCAATATATAAAAAAAAATATTACTTCTATAAGTGTTTGTATATAATAATGATGTTATACTTCAATAAACTAATATATGTTTCAACTGCAAACCAAAAACCCATCGTCTCTGCGAACCAA